AAATTCCAACTGATTTATTGTAACGTCACTTAGATTGTGTTATTACTTTATCCTGCAATTTCGCAAACATGCTCTGTTTTTTTTTTCCCTTAAATAAATGACAATAAAATCTCGTATTCCACGTATTTGAAATGCTTAAAATAGTGTTCTTTGCCGAGAGCAATACGATAATTCAAAACAGCTAGAGCCTCTGGGTTTCATATATCGTTGGGCCTCATCAAGTCTTTAAATGACGTTAAACTGGTCATCATAACAGGTCTTTCCAGTCTTTGATTCCAGTTTTCTGTGTTGTCTTCATTTCCATGCTTTCGGCACTTCTCTATCGTGAACATTCTTTAAAATAGAACTCTCTTCATAGAGTGACAACACTTTCAAATTATCACATCTGTTTCCGTGTAGCCCCCTATACACTTTAGTACTCTCACCATATAATTGACCCGCTTTTGGGTTTGCAGTTCTTAGAACCACATCTCTTTAACATTTACCCAAGTTCTCATAAATCTAATAATTGTCCACGACTCACCTCCATTTATCAGAAACCAAGCACGCTAGACTCCAACGATACACTTAAAGACAAAGACAGAATAAAACACTAAATCACTATACACTGTCTCCTCCTACCATTTCCGCATGCAGACGTTTAGCAATTTATTTCTTCCATTTCTCAAGACCCACATCGGGAGTTAATAAATTAAGCTGCTATCTCCAAAACGAGGCCCCGTGCACATAAGTCATGTGACTATCTTCCCGGCTGTCATCGGGCCTATTTGAGTCAACATAATATTGTATGTGCGCCCATTGTGACGGTACGACTCCCGCCTGTTTACAGCATGAGATTAACACTCTTCCTGGAGCGTAGCCCAAGTGTAATCTGAGGACCAACGACAGACAGGTGTAAAAAAAGATTATACTTCTTTGGCGAATTGTTTCGACACTTATGATTGCTCTCTGGGAGGTTTATATGAAAGATTACACAAGGTTTATACTTGAGGAGTTTTGGAAAACTCATTCTTTTTTCCCACTCTTCTATCTGCGAATGGAGCATAGGCCCTCAACCAACTCACATCAACTCATTATATCCTTCGATATTGCATGTAGCTGACACCGTGTCTTCCTATCATTTTAACTGCACTCTTTGGCTCCTTTTCTAAATGTGTGTGTGTGTGTGTGTGTGTGTGGGTGTGTTATTTATGTGCCCCAGTTGGTTTCAGAGAAACGGCAATCTAATTATACTGTTCTCAGGTTTTCAGCGAGTGTTCTCTTTAACTCCAGCGTCTTTTACTCACCTCTTGGTCCCCTGAAACTTGTATAGATCTCTCTCCAAAAGCTCAAAATTAGTGAGTCTGTCGTGCTGTTTTTTTTAACCTCTAACTTGCGCAGGCACCAGCTAATGAATGTCTATAGTTTATTTGTAACTGTTGTGTGTGTGTGTGTGTGTGTGTGTGTGTGTGTGTGTGTGTTGTTTTCCGTGTTTTCGCTCCAGACACAACTACTGATAAAATTATAAATGTTAAGTTTAGTATAAGTTTTAATTTCTTTTGACCTCCGCAAATTTTCTGGTGCTATGAAGCCTTTTTTGCCTTTCATATTCGTATTTTAATACATCCTGTCAGTTCCCTAATCTGTATCTACATTGCTGCCCAAATAGGTGTACGACTCCACGTCTTGGAGTGTGAAACCATTCAGAGCAACCACACTACTGCTTAATTCATTCTCGTTATCTGTCTGACCCTTATTGATTTTTTTTTAGACCTAGCTGTTGTGATCTCGCATTAAGTATATTTAATTTGATCTGTGAGTGGGATAGAAGGGAAATATATCTGCCAAAGTCAAGGTCATCAAGCTTTCTCCTAGGCAGATGCATTCCAAGTTGTAAGGAAACAACCATAATTAGTCAACTTGTACTACATGCTTGTTATGGGGGCGGTGAATCTGCCCCCCCCCCACCCGCCCCCTTTTAACAGTGTGCAGAAGCCCACACTGCAGGAGAAATCCAAAATCAGCTATGTTATACAATAAATCGCCTGAACCTAACATTGCAAAAAATCTGGCCGTGTGATGCTGAAATTCTTTCCAGGCATGTGAAAATAAAATACTCGTTGACAGCGAATCGCAGCCCGACTGAAGAGAACAACAGGAGGCTGCCAGATTACAACGCCACTGTTTGCCCTAGAAAATGGCTTCAAATTATTCTCATCGGCCTAATCGTTTTATTGCGCGGACTTCACTGGATCAATTAAAGCGATTTCATAATTGTCGCTTCTTTTGTGGGCCGCTCCAGGGGTAATCGCCGATGATGGAGCTTCAACTGGTAATAGGTGATTATTGTTGCTCCAGTAGCTGAGGACTGGTGGAGCTTCTGGTGGAGTTTCCATGTAAGCTAATTCTGTGGAGGACAAAAGCTGACAACCGTTTGGAAAAGAAACAGCCTTTATCTTTTACTAATGTGTCCTTTGATTGACGTAAATTTCCCACGTAAATTTCATGAAAGTCCATAATTAGCCATGCATTATTTATATTGTAAATTGCAATAGAAGTTGTTTAGGGAAGTTTACATCGGTATATATCGTTGTCAAGCGATTGTTGCGCAGCAGCAGCAGCAGCAGCAGAAACAGTGATGATACTAGAGGTAGCAGTAGTAGAGATATAGTTCATTTCAAAAGTCGTGACGGCACACAAACAAATAACTCCATAACTCCGAAACAGATAAAGACGCGTTTGCATGTCGCCTCAGATTTTTCATGACCTTTTGATTTTGCTATTTGCAGTTGCACAGGTGCTGCTGCTTTCTTACAGCAACGAATTTATTTAATAATTGTTGCACAGGTGCTGCTGCTTTCTTACAGCAACGAATTTATTTAATAATTGTTGCACCCTTAAAAATAGAACATACAGTATTTGACAGACACCTGGTGTTTGCAAACTAGTTCACATCTGCAGGGACGCGTGGTGATAACTTTGATAGTATTTACCGCATACAATGAAAAATCCATAACTCACGGGAGCCTAATGCTTGAGATAAGCACCTGAGAGTGAAACGCCTAAGTTACGCGTGCGATTTGATTGTTTTTTGAAAAGTCAGCTTGTGAAATGTTTGCTTTGAATCGGTGTCTATTTATTCATTTGCTTACAATAAAGCAATATAAAAAGTCTGTGTTTGTTTACATTTAATAAAAAAAAAAAAACATTCGAACAAAAGCATGATTATTAACATGTTCCATACGACATTCCTTACACCGAATGGTTTCAGAGTTACAGATTTTTAAAGATGACTACAACTTCTGCAACTGACTATAATATATCTAGTAGTAGCTGTAATTGTTGTAGTCATAAAAAACGTCAGCTGCTTATCCATTGTAGAATCAACCCTCGCCTTTGTCGAAAGGGTAGGATGTGGTGGGGGGTGAGGGGTGGGGGGGGGGTGGTTAGGTAGGGGGGTTGTTTGGTACTGTTTGTGACTTAACAAGGCAATTTTACTTTCAGTTGTTTGCCGTTGAAACTAAACGGTCGGCTGTCGATACTACTGTCGAAAACAACGCAAGGCGGTCTGCTGCCAAATCGCCAGCAGTAGGAATCGAACCAGGTACCTCGGAATTAAGAAGTGCGTTCGCAACGCCTAAGGTAGTAACAATAGTAGATGTAACAGTAGTAGTAAAAGCTGTGGAATAGTAGTTATAGCTGCACTAGTAATAGTAGTAGTAGATATGGAATAGTTAAAGTAGTAGTAACCATAGCTGTATTAATGGCTCTACAGAATTTCTGGACCTGTGTTTCGTTTCTGTTTGCGTTTTCCCACTGCAGATTAAAAATAATGTTAAATCCATCGTTACAATAGTCATATGTTGGGTAGTAATAATAGTAGTTGTAATAATAATGAAAGTAGCTGTGGAACAGTGGTGGTAGTAGTAGTAGCAGTAGTAGTAGCAGTAGCGGCAGTAGTAGTAGTAGTAGTAGTATCGATAGCAGTAGGAGTAAAAGTAGTAGCTGTGGTGGTAGTATTAGCACCAGCTGCAGTAACAGCAGCTGTTACTGTAGAATGAATAGCTGTAACAATTGTAATAGTAGTAGCTTTACAAGTTGCAGTATTAGTACACCAATAGCCGACGTAAATGTGACAATGTTATGCGTTTTAGTAATAGTCGCGCAGCCGATTCGATCCGATGCTTTGCTAAAACAATCATCACTCTCACCCAGCATTCTCGAAGGGGGAGCTGTAGGTTATAATTGTGACTAGGTTATATGTGCTATATACAAAATATTACACGCCACCAAAAGCCCTGAAAAGGACTCCTGCAGTGTTGATATGATCAAAGGAGATAGACCCACATACTGTCCCGACTGTCGACGAAGTCATCTACCGGCGAGCCAATGGGCAAACAGGTCGCCGATTATCGCAGCCCAGATAGGAGACACCATTACCTGGTCCTCTTGGGAACAATCAGCAGAGGTGTCTTGTTGTGGCTGCTGCATTGGAGGACTGAGCACGCATGGGAATGCTCAATGGGCTGTGACGTCGATTGTTATAACATGTATAACATAACATTGCCAAGTAAAATAATAACTATGAAACCAATGTTGTGGTTAGTTGAGGTGCTGTAAAGAAACATGCTACCAACTTCAACATTAAAGCAAACATTAATAGAGCCCTGGGGGCCGCCGAGGTGTAGTGGCCAGAGGCTGGCCCGCGGATCCGAAGGTTAACGTTCAGATCCTGATGGAGCTGGACTTTTCTCCAGAACTGACTTGGGCTCCCTAGACGATCCAGCCTTAAAGGGGTAGCAGGTAGAATCCTCGGAAGTAAAAGCAGCCTAGGTGTCAATTGGTCTACATAAATTAGGTCTAGCTCTGTATGCTGAATACACCTGAAAGGATAGAGAAGGGTCCTTTTATTTAACTTTACCTAACACAGCCTTACAGTGGGCCGACGACATTCCTAACATCGTCATCAGATATTTACAAGTGTCGGCTCCCATCAGATGATTGTGTTTTGTCTTCCCCAGATCATGCTGAACTCTCTACACAAGTACGAACCCAGACTCCACGTGGTCAGAGTCAACTCCAGAACCCAGAAGAAAACCATCCTGACGTTCAGCTTTCCGGAAACACAGTTCATCGCCGTCACCGCTTACCAGAACGAGGAGGTATGATCATCAACACTTGCTTCTCCTTTTCCTTTTTTGTCTGTCCTCCAAAGAATAATTTAAAAACCATGTAAACTTCTGTTTATGTGACATAAAGCAGTTAGATAGTCTTGGCACGGCAAAGCCAATCCAAGATTCAAATTTATGCAACAACTGAAATTCTCAGACTCGCATCTGTGCATTGAAGGCGCTCTACTTGTGGGTTCTAGGGCCTAATTTGGGGAAAAAAATAGACCCACTGCTCCTTAATAATAGCTAACATTTATTTCCGGTGCTCACACACGTGTCAGAGATACGGTGGCCAGACACACAGACGATTTCTCTCTGATATTCTTCCGATAAGTGATTTTGGGCATTCTTGTTTGTATTTGTGGTAGTGTATCTCAATGTGATCGTCTCTCCTCCATCGCCACAGGAATTGAAAAAAAGATTGATGGCTATGAGAATTGGATGCAAGTGACTTGCGCGAGGACTTGGATTTACTCGAAAAAGAGTTACGCAATTCGTCGACCTCACTCTCTCCCGTGTGACCATTTTGATCCAACGGCAGGACAATGTCGAGACGACTGGAAAACGATCTAGGTGCAGTGGATGATCAAAACGTCTGAAGTACACCGCCTTGCTCGAAGTTTTTCACAGAACCTGCTGGTAATCGCTTTATTGTCCGTTGAACCAACAAGAGATATCATCCGCACAATCCGCCGAGTCCAGTCTTGGCATGCAGGGTAGGCATATCCAAGTCACCGAGTGGTTTAGAACCAGTCCGGCTAACCTCTCCAGGTTTAGCCAGCCGGTCATAGCTGTTGCCCGCGGAGAGGCCGCTGTTGTTGTATCTTCATGTAATGAACTGAGGAAGGTTGTCCAGCAGCAGCGTTCATCTGTCGTTTGTGTTTGTGATAATGCGAAAGCTGACATTGTATACTTTGAGTTTGATGTTTTCATGACGTTGAGATATCAGAAGACTGGCTGCTGTCGGGGAATTCCATCACATTTGCAGCCGAGTGTGGCGACAAAGTTGTGGACAGTATTAGTGGACAGTATTAGTGGACAGTATTAGTGGACAGTATTAGTGGGTAGTATTAGTGGACAGTATTAGTGGACAGTATTAGTGGACAGTATTAGTGGACAGTATTAGTGGACAGTATTAGTGGACAGTATTAGTGGACAGTATTAGTGGACAGTATTAGTGGACAGTATTAGTGGACAGTATTAGTGGACAGTATTAGTATACAGTATTAGTGTACAGTATTAGTGGACAGTATTAGTGGACAGTATTAGTGGACAGTATTAGTGGACAGTATTAGTGGACAGTATTAGTGGACAGTATTAGTGGACAGTATTAGTGGACAGTATTAGTGGACAGTATTAGTGGGTAGTATTAGTGGACAGTATTAGTGGACAGTATTAGTGGACAGTATTAGTGGACAGTATTAGTGGACATTATTAGTGGACAGTATAAGTGGACAGTATTAGTGGACAGTATTAGTGGACAGTATTAGTGGACAGTATTAGTGGACAGTATTAGTGGACAGTATAAGTGGACAGTATTAGATGGTAGTATTAGAAGGTAGTATTAGATGGTAGTATTAGAAGGTAGTATTAGAAGGCAGTATTAGAAGGTAGTATTAGAAGGTAGTATTAGAAGGTAGTATTAGAAGGCAGTATTAGAAGGTAGTATTAGATGGCAGTATTAGATGGCAGTATTAGAAGGCAGTATTAGAAGGCAGTATTAGAAGGCAGTATTAGATGGCAGTATTAGAAGGTAGTATTAGAAGGCAGTATTAGAAGGTAGTATTAGAAGGCAGTATTAGAAGGCAGTATTAGATGGCAGTATTAGAAGGTAGTATTAGAAGGCAGTATTAGAAGACTGTATTAGAAGGCAGTATTAGAAGGCAGTATTAGAAGGCTGTATTTGTAGGCTGTATTTGTAGGCAGTATTTGTAGGCAGTATAAGTGGGCAGTATAAGTAGGCAGTATTAGTAGGCAGTATTATTAGGCAGTATTAGTAGGCAGTCTTAGTAGGCAGTATTAGAAGGCAGTATTAGAAGGTAGTATTAGAAGGCAGTATTAGAAGGCAGTATTAGAAGGCAGTATTAGAAGGCAGTATTAGAAGGCAGTATTAGAAGGCAGTATTAGAAGGCTGTATTTGTAGGCTGTATTTGTAGGCTGTATTTGTAGGCAGTATTAGTAGGCAGTATTATTAGGCAGTATTAGTAGGCAGTCTTAGCAGGCAGTATTCATCTGTGGTTTACACCTCGGCTGTGGTGTCTGCATCGTTCAGAACATCACATCAGATTTCACCCAAATCCTTAAATAGTTGCTTTTTACGATATGCCTGTTAGATGTATTATACTGTTTGTTTTTCGACAACACAGAACTACATTAAGCATATATGAAAATTTAACTAATTATTCTATCTAACAGATTACCGCCCTGAAGATTAAACACAACCCATTCGCCAAGGCCTTTCTGGATGCGAAAGAAAGGTAGGTAACTCGTCTTGTAACTGCATTGTCTGCATGGTTTCCAAATACTGCTTCTCGTGTACCAACAATAATTCGCTGCTTTCACCAGGGCTGTTGAAAAATTTTCGGCAGTAATACCAAATATGTACGAAAGTACCAACTTCGCCAGCCCTGGTTCCAATATACACGGTGAAGGATTTGCGTTTTAGGCTGTTCCTGTGGCATGCTTAAGGATGTTTTTTTTTTTTTTTTACGCTGCTTGTTGTTGCTTGCCCGTGAAAACACGTGAACATATTTTCATTTTTGATACAAGGTGTTTCATAAGCTCCAGCGCAGTCAAAGTCAAGCCTTTGGCTTGGTACCATGGATATAGCAACCCTTCGGCCTTGATTCCAAGATAGATACCGTAAATCTTGGAGAAATATGGCTTTTCCTCCTACCCCCGGGAACGAACACAGACAAGGAGTTCGTCACCCGGTCGCCATGCAGTCAGGTTTAACCAACTAAGCTAGCGAGCAGGGCAAAATATAACAATAGGAACTCAACATCCTGTGCCCGATGCGGCACTGGCGTGTTATTTCTCTTTGTATGGCGAATTAGACGTAGTTTCACCTAGTTAACACGAATTCTAAGACACGGAGCAATCAAAAGTTCGTGTTTTGTGTATGTGTACTGAGTTGTTCTTTATGTGCTGATGAAGGCTAATCGCCGCAACGTCCTTTGTTTGTTTATTGTGATCGATTTTGTAAACTAACATAAACTGTTTGTTTTTTCTTGCCAACTTTACTCTTTCCTAAATTTTCTACCCCTTTAGAAACTTTAAAATATGTGCAGCTCAAGACGCATTAATACATCCCAGCTAAAACGAATATTTCGTTCCTGTTAGGCAAATGTTCTTGTTAAACGAAGGCAAACAAGTTTTACTATATAAGTTTCGTGTCCCATGTTATTGATCAGTCGGTTTTCAGTGGATAAGGCGGGTTGATCACAGGTAGAAGAGGCAGAGGCAGACCAAGAGAAATGATGCTGGACGGCTTAAAACAGTGGCATGGAGGAATATTATCAGTGTAATTGATCCAGAACACCAAAAGCCGAGATCTTTAGCGATGCATGAACGCATACGCTAGCTGGCAAGGCACTTGATGATGATGATGAAGGTTGGTTCACTCACGAAATGTCGAGAGGTCCAAAATATTGAAACAGCCCCATATTCTTAAAAAGTAGAAAAAGAAGCCTTGGTTTTCATATTTCATGTTCCGTGCCAGGACCCAAAAAAAATTCATGCCACATCGCTGTAGTTGCCGGTTTGTTGTATCGACACTACGTTATATCTACACTGTAAGATTGTGAAGCTCGCTGATATACATTTTGTTCGGTTTTATATCTGTCCTTTTAATTATAAAACTTTTGTAATGCATGTTCCATAATCACTAACACTTACTCTTAGTCTGCAGGGCCAGACAAAACCCCAGTTACGATCTCCATTCAGTGTCTTATGTAACATTAGTGTAATATATAGGTTCTTCAGAATAACTTCCCTCCAACTGCCTTGTCGCTTGACAAATTAATTTACATAATAAAGCCCTCCTAGTGATCTAAGAATATGCATATAATCTTGCAGCTTTGGCGGGTTGTTAGTAGTCAGTCCGCATCTTCCGTCAAAACACTTATATATATTATATAAATGACACCTATGTACAATTTCAGTTAACACAGCTTGAATTATTTAAATTAATTGTCAGTAAATTTAACTTTGATTTCTAGGATAACTTAAGATTCCGTGAGAACAACTAGAAATAGAACATGTCGCTGCCCGTTTGGGTTTTGGCCTCCATTTTGGAGAACTGCCTTCTGGGAAAGGAAAGGTAACACACACGGCAGCATTTACATTTGAAGAGGCCCTATAAAGCCCTGAGGCCCTACCGTTTGAATTACTCTAGCGAATCCAAGAAAGCTGTAAAATATATATACACAGTTTAAATATACAGATCATGGAAATATCTTGTTTAATTTTTATTGCAAGAATAAATACAAAATACGTTTGCAACAATCACAGAAACAGCATAACCCTCTAAAACTCTAATTCAACCCCCCCCCCCAACCCCTTCCATCATTTTCCCAAATGCAGAATTGTTCATTTTATTTAAACTTTAATAGGTTTCAACAGGTAAGAATAAATAAAAGACAAAATACTCAATTTCCCGTGTGGGTTCCGGGGCCCTGTTATAGAAAACATAAGAAGAGACCCACTGCCTACCCAAAAGCAGAGTCGACTAATTGGGAGTTTCCTTTAAAGTGCATCTGCCTGAGAGGCAAGGAACAAAGTCTGCATACAGTTTGGTCAAATCTGTCAAATGAATGCACACGCGACACTCAGGTTCTGGAATAGGAGTACTGCAGTCCAAAAGTGGACGAACAACCAGAACCTTCCGCCAGAGTTCACAGCCGGTGAACTCGAAGAAGAAGATATATATATACCCAATACGATTAATAAAAAAAAGTGAAAAAAATATTTTCCTGAGAACAAATTGGAAATATATTAAAAGAATTGTATTTACAATTTAGTACAAGAAAAAAGAGTTCTGTGAGGGAAAACATTAGAACTATTTCTAGGCCCTTGTAGATTGTGACGCCCTAAGCTCATATTCGGCCCGATAACACCAATTCATTTTGATGCTGCAGAAGCCTCAGAGCCAGAAAAACTGCGCTCTGTTGATGGTGCAAAGATCCACTGACATCCATTTTTACCTACATGAGTTGTGATTAATATGTGTAAATCAATGCTTCGGTGGATTCAGTGAAACCGTAGCAGCTAACTTAAATCCATGCTAATATATTGATGTTTGTTTCTATATGTGTCAATTTCTGTCGCATATCTGTAATTTCGTAACTCCATGTTGAATGTTATGGCTGCGTAATACACCGCGTATGCTTTGCTTTGCTTTAAATGTCGCTTTGTGTTTCTTTTCGCCTTGTCTACAGCAGCACCAACCCGAACGCTTACCCATATCTGCTTCCTAGCCAGATCGAGGCCAGAAATCGAACGAGGTGAGCAGTAAGTTTTTACTCACAGGAACCAAATTGTTCAAATCACGTTGGAAAACAGAAAGAATAGGGGTTTCCCACCCCAACAGTTAGACAAAAGCAGCCAATGGTTGATTACTTTTGTGACCAGTTGATTGATAGGTGTCTGAATCCGAGTGCCGATTGGTCTATTAAATATAGGTCGAGCACTTTATGCCTAATACGCAACAGGGCCTGGAAAAAAGTCCTTTATTCATTTTCCTTTATAAGATTTGGCAGATCAGCTTCGTTGCATCGGGTGTTATCCTTTACGGTTTAGTTTTTGTGTGCGGAAAAGCCGATCAGACCCGAGAAAGCCGCCTCAAACAAAATCAACAGTTGCTGAAGCACACAAAGGATGAACAACCAGCTTTCATCTGAACATATCCCGCATTGACCGGAAGCCAGAAACTAATCACATAGGACAGAGCGAAGTAATGAACACAACGCATCGCTGAATATTCATGGACTATGAACGGGAAGGAAATCCTCTGGAAACTGGCGATGAAACTGATCTCATTGATAATTATTAAGTTAGTAAATGCAACATATAAGGACATGAAAATTCTAGTTTGTCAACATCATCGTCATCATCATCATCATCATCATCATCATCTTCATGTACCATATCCTTTACAGAACGTCGCTGCCATCGAAGCATGCCACAAAAACCCTCGTTTCCATTTCCCTTACCTCTTGTAGAATCAACTGAAGATAAAAAATATGTAGATACATTAAAAGTATACTTGATTTCAAACGAAGATGTTCCGGTTTTGACGCGCTACAAGAGCAGTGTGGGAAATACATGACCAACAGCAGACGGCGGGAGAGGTGGAGTTGCGGGCAAACTACTAGCAGTGACGAGAGTAGCTGTAGTTTCACAGACCCCCAGCTAGATCCCTGGCTACCCTGGTACAACCAGCAGTATAGGTAACTGGAGATTCTCTTTTTATTTTGTTTTATTCTTTGTGTAAATATCCATTGGCCTTCTTCATTGGCCGAGGAAGATAGAGGAAGAAATAATAGCATGTCGACTCTTCTTTAGTTTGCCGAAGAGTTGGACAGAGCACATGTGGGAATATCCCAGGCGCAGTGATGTCAATTCTTGATTTATTTTTTTCTTCCGTTCCTGTCGATTTTATTGAAATATGGTAGAAAGTATTTTATATGGTAGAAAAATATATGCTGCTTTGCTTTTTTTTAGTATGTCGTTGTTACTAGTGCTATTTTTTATGTGATACAACGTGTCATGGCTTACAAATACGGTGTATATGCTTTCGCTTGCTTGCATGCTCGTAGATTGATTCTCCTTTTAACTGTTACGTGTTTCATATTGTCCATAATTATGTTACATTTTCAAAAATCACAAGAGAGTGACAGCTGTTTATTGTTTGTCGGCATAGATGCCGTAGCATGCAGGGGGGGGGGGTGCGGGAACGTGGGGGGGGGGGGGGTATTTCCAGCGGACAAAGCTGGTCTTAAATGGTTGAAATTACATTTTCAGTGCGCCGCATCGCATGAAAAAGGCTCTTTTCTGACTACCTTACTATAGTTTCTACAATAACACACACACACACACACACACACGCACACACA